CTACTACTACTACTACGACGACCGCAGTAGAGAGCTCTATGCTAGTACTGCTCAGCCTACTGTCACGACGACGAATACGACTGCGATTCAGACAACAGAACCTTTGATCATGGCCCGGATCACACTTCCACCGCCATGCTAAACGAAGCTGAAACAGCTTGTTAGAGGACGCAGTCGACTGACATGTTTGAAACCTGCTGCCACGATGGGTCAAGGACACTTGCCTTGTGCGTGGGCGGGTCACTTGTTGCCATGCTGAAAACCCTCGTGCTGGTAGGTGTGGTGACAGGTTGGGCCCAAAGTGTGACAGATCAGCAGACACTTGATCAGGCCCAGGCGCTTGTTCAGAAGTACTGTCCAGTGGAGGGCAGCCAAATCAACTATGAGGAGTCCCGCGAGACTTTGGAATTGAGTGCAGGGAATGGCAACATTGTTTACGATGTCCTCTTACAGACAGCCGCTGCAGTACGGGAAGGCGAGACCCAAAACCTTGCCAGCGTACTGCAAGACACAGTGAGTCCAATATTTGCGATTCGCAAAGCAACACCACTTCTAATGGCTGTGTTGCTGTGGGTTGTGTGGCATTTCGCTTGCTGGTTCGTATGCTGCCCTTGCTGCATGAGGTGCTGTTGCTGCTGTTGCCAGGCGAAGTGGAAATTTGGCAGGGTCCTTGCATTCCAGCTTCTCCTGTGGATAAGCTTCGCGGTGCTCGCCGTGGTGGTTGTCAGCCTCTGCGCTATGAGTGCCGCAGAGCACGAGAGCATCGAGCAGGGCATCCAAGGAACAGGCTGCTATTCAGCACAGCTTCTTCAAGACGCTGTTGCCGGCAATCCGTCGCTGAACTTCGTGGGCCTTGTCCCAGCTTGGGAGGCCCTGGATGAGCTTTCCAGGGGCCTTGATCCGAACTCAGCCTTCCTTGAGGGGGTGCGCGGGCTTTTGGATGCGACCGTCGAGTTAGAGCGCGCCGTGAACCTGGTCAGGGACATGTTGGTCTCCTTGCAGCTCCTCCTAGACAACGGCCAGAACCAAAATCCTTCAGGCTATTTCCATAGATGCGCGGTGTGTGAGCCCTTGAGCCTTGCCCTGGTCGAGCTCGTTGGCCTCTTTGACGATGGTGTCGCCTTGGCCATGAACACGGTCAGAAGGGAGGTAGAAGCGCAGCTTGACGGCGAGCGTGTTGCCAACCTGCGTCGCACAATCCAGGACGCGAAGGAACCAGTTGAGACTATGAAGGAGCAGATGCTGCAACAGCTGGGCTATTTCGTTAGAGAGGCAGACGATGGGTTTCAGAAGGGCACTGAAGCGCTTGCAGGAGAATCTTCCATCCTGTACCTCGGATTTCTTGGAGTTCTCTTCCTTGCAATTCTGGTCGTGACTCTTGGCTTCCTGGCCTTGATCTGTTACAGCCGCTGTCACAGGGGTGGCGAGGAGCCAGATCCCTGTGTTGTTCGTGTAGGCAGTGGAAGTTCCATGTGTGCTTCCTACATCTTTGCTGGGACTCTTTTCTTGATTGGAGGGATCCTTCTGCTTGTTTCGATGGTGGGTGGAGGAGTGTGCCTGGCCATGGTGGACTTCGACCAGCAGACAGGTGAGACCCTGCTGGAGTCACTTGGTGTGCCGACGGACGAAAGCATCCGCCTGGCTGTGTCGCTTGCAGATCAGTGCATGAGCTTGAAGTCCGACATGGAAAGCAATGCAACGAATGCAACGCGCAACGTGGCCGACATCCTCGAGCTTCCCGATCCCTTTAAGGCCCCGGGTACCCTGAGCTCTCTTCGCCGCTTGATGTCGGACTACGTCGTTTCTCAGATCAATGGCGCCTTCGAGCTGCTGGAGCTTGTCATGGCCAATCAGCCACTAAGGCTTGCAGATAATCCCATCTTGACAAAGATTCGAGGCTACGTGCGAAGCGTCGACATGATGGCCATGTTTTGGCCCCTCCCAACCGACATTGCGGCTCATCCTGTCTACAGCTCGATGCCCATAGTGTTTTACCCAATCAGTATCTTGTGTGATGATCTGTTTTTGCCGCCAAGTCTTCCAGAACTCTTGGCCAACGTTTACGCTCCTGGCCTTAATTCGATGGTGGTCGATGGCATCGCAACAGGTGCTGGGCCCCGCATCCCAGGCCTCTTCGACGATCAGAGTGTGACGTGGGACTGTCCTGTACGCCTGGAAGGCGATTGTTCGGGGTCGAATTATGGCTCAGGTGCATGCGAGGCAGCCAAAGCCTTCGTGATCGAGCGGAAGTTGCCTCTGAGGACACTGCCATTATTTCGCTGCAGGTATTTGCAAAAGCCAGGGGCACCTGCTGGTACCAGGTGTGATGTCGAAGACATGCGCAAAGTGAATGGCAGCTGGATCAACAGCTGCGTGCATCCGAACAACACGGTGACCTTCTTTGAGCAGACGTGTACCATCACTGAGTTTGAGGAAAATGTCAGGTCCTTCGATCTTTGGTTTTACAGAATTTTCCAGTACATGGATGACATCGTTGAAGAGCTCGTGTATCGAGTGGCCGATGACTTGAAAGCTCTGGTCTATCTTCACCTTGTCGATCCGGTCTTCTCTCTGCTTGACCAGCTTGACTGCTCTTTCATGCGCAGTTTCTGGAAGGGCCTCACGGACTCGCTGTGCTTCCGAGCGGTCCGTAGCTTTCAGGTTATTGCCAGCTACTACGTCTGGGTGGCCAGCCTTGCATTGGTCATGGTCGGAGTGATGTACATTGCTTGGCGGATCTCAAGGGACACTGCTGATGCTTTTGATCCTTCCTCGGATACTGTGGTGACAAGAGCCGTAGACTTGAGGAACAAATTGAGGCAGAGGGTCGCCCAGAACGGATCGAGAACTGAGGTTGACTCAGTTCCAGATCCATCTCCACATCCCGAGACTCCAAATTCAGCAGACCGTTCAGTTCCAAGTCGAGTAACCGAATCTGCATCAAGGGTTGCCCTTTGAAGGCAACTTTTCAGGCTTGGCGTGACCTTTTTTTACAGCCTGCAAAAGGGTCCACCTGTTCTGCAACTTTGTATCATTGTAGTGTGTACAGTCAAATCCGGAAAGGAAATTCCAGCCCCGCAGTCAAACAGGCGTATGTCGGAGGCGTTTTCAAAACCACGAGATACTCGTGACCGTTTCAAGTAGGCAGAAGCCTAGCACTGGAGCCACGTGCCAGAAGATCCGTGACACAAGTCGCGGCAAGTGGATGCGCTTGCAAGACGTGCTTGTGGCTTGTGGCAAGATGGCTGTCGTGTGCTGTTTGGGACCCCCCACTGAGCTCCGCATGCCATGCTTGTGCTTCTGGCGCTGCGAGGCTCGGTGAGGATGAGGGCCTCTATGCCAAGCAAGGTGAGAACAACGAACCCCTGAGGCCGGCGAAGTTACTGGAGTCCCAAGACGGTGACTGCTTTCGCTGCCCAACTCCTGCAGGCCAGATGGCGGTGCCTTCGTCCCGAAGTGCGTAGGCGATGCCATCCTCAAGGCCTGTAAGGGGCAGTCTCACTACTTGGAGCGACTACTGCCGGCTGTAGCAGCTGTAGCAAGCATAGTGACATGGTGTTATTAACTTCCCCAATCCCTGTAAATAAAAGTCCTGGTGCCATTCGTCGGAACCGCAGCCGCGGTGTAAGCGACAGCAGCAACTGCGCAGCAGCAAGAGCAGCAGCGTCAGAGCAGAAACAGTTGCACTAAGGAGACTCAAGCAGCCGTCACGCCTGCAATGGTCAATAGCCAGCAGTGAGCACGAGAGATAAGTGTTGACTGCAATCGCCAGAGCCGCCATATCACTTACGGCGCCCATTGACTTATGGTGCGGGCCTATTCAATAGCAGCAACGACCACAGCTTCTCCATCGCAACAAAGCAGCTGCCCGTGGGATGATGATGATGACGATGATGACGAGGATGTCGATCATCGTCATCATAATCATCCTCATCACCATCATCATCGTCATCATCAGCAGTTACATCATCGTACCAGCTGCATCAGATGCATGTTCGATTGTCGGAATCATTGCCACCCTCTCGTTGCAACTTTTCATATTTTCAATGATCACCTTCATCGTCGACATGTGAAGCGAAGACACTCGCAATCAACCTGGCATGGATAGACGGACTTGTTGCCAGGTGGACTGGGTCGAGCTCCGATATGGCGCTCTGGTCGAGGCTGCAAGCTGCGCATTCATTGCGAGGCTTGATGTTTAGTGGGGCATGAGGCTGTCGGGTTTGTGGAAGCTCTGCAATCTGAAATATGCATGGCCCTAGACAGCAACCCCATCTCGAGAGCTCGAGGGACAAAGGAAGCTGGCCAGCACTTCATCCAAAGTCAAAGCCGACGTACCCGGAGTAGTTTGCTGCCTAGTTTAGAAGGCCTCTCTCTCTCTCTCCCTCTCCCTCTCCCTCTCGCCCTCCCTCTCTCTCTGCAGTCAAACATCGCTGATTGCTCTGGAGCTATCGTCAGGTTCGCCTGAGATATGGCCCAGAGTTGCAGGATGTCGCGCCTCAGTATGCCAAGCAGTTCGATCAGGCCCGAAGCGACTGCTTCTCGGTTCGTACATTCCCTGTGCAGTCCGTCTCCTCCGAGTCGTCGCGTCGGGTTGTGGCTGCGTCTTCTTCTTCTTCTTCCTCTTGGTTGTGGTGCTGTGGGTGGTGTTGGTGGTCGTGGTTGCGGTCGTCGTCATGCTTGTGCTTGTGCCTGTGCTTGTGTGTGTGTGTGTGGCTGTTGTTGTTGTTGTTGGTTGTGGTTGTTGGTTGTTGTGGTTGTTGTTGTTGTTGGTTGTTGGTTGTTGGTTGTTGGTTGTTGTTGTTGTTGTTGGTTGTTGTTGGTTGTTGTTGTTGTTGTTGTGGTGGTCGTCATCGTCGTCGTCGTCGTCGTCGTCGTCGGTGTCGATGTTGTCTTCGCAACTGCTGTTGCTGCAGCTGTTGCTGCTGCAGCAGTCGCTGTTTGGCAGGTAGTTTTGTCGTCCCCATCGTTGCTGTCGCTTGTCGCGTACATAAATCATTGAAGTAACTCCGGAAGATCACACCAGTCCCGTACTTCTGTCCAGGCCAAAAAAGATGCACGCAAGAAAGGCCGCAAAGGCGGGCTGGTACATGGCGCGTTTAGGTCCGGCGTTTCATGCTTCTTGGTGCCGGGAACTTAGGTGCTTGGGATATCGAGGCTTAGTGTTCCACCGTCGTCTTCCGAGCACGAGGTTGTTTTCCTTTGGGAAACCTGTTGTGCATTCCGAAAGGGCTTATCAAATATTTCTGTAAGCAGGCTCAGTACAAGGATCAGTTGTTTTTGGAGGTCCCAGCTTTCATCATGAGCAATCCACCCGGAAGTTCCTCTCCTGGAGGTGGCGCGATGTGCTCCATCCTCGTCCAGGTCTTCCCGCCGAGCTACAGGCTACGTGGCCACCTGCCATGTACCCATGCTTTCTGGGCGATGTGGGTAAGGTCAGGATGGTTACTGAAGGTGGTGCGCCAAAACCTGCGAAGCCTGAACCCGGAGGCCGTCCGACGCTGAGACTCAAGATGGCGGTACCATCATTGACGAGAGCATCCCAAAGGCAAGGTGGCATCGCTGCACAACTTTCCCGAACAGAAAACCTGCCACCACTATGTGTCTCCAGAAGGCTTCCTTGGAGGGGCTCCATCTCTTGGTGTCGATTGCAGGATATGGAAATCGAATGAGATCTCCATCTCCCGTGCGTGGCTCGGGGTTCGGGCCGGGTCTCTGCTTTCAGAATGTTGTGGCTGGCACGAAGTTATTTTTCCGCAGCGTGCAGAGTGTCGCCTACAGCCTGGAATCAAACAAGCGCTCAGGTGTGTTGTGCTGCATGAGATCGGCTGACGTGCTCTCGCGGTTTGCTCCGATTGGAGGGTGCAGCAAGCGATGGTAGCCCTAAAACTTTCAACCCTAAAAGTTGTGAGTCTTAGAAAAACTTTTCGTCGAAACTTGCCGTTTCTGTCGCCGCCAACACCTTCGGCATCAGCAGCAACGTGATCACCAGCATGCCCCCGCACCAGCATCATACAACCATCACCATAATCATCATGGTCATCATCAACACCACCATCCTCATCATCTTCATCATCATCATCATCATAATCATAATCATCAGCATCATTATCATCATCACCATCATCATCATCGTCATCAACAGCAACATCATCATCAGCATCAGAAACAGCATCAGCGTCATGCTCATCGCCACTGGCAGCTTCGTCATCACCGTTTCTTCGTCTTGGTCGCATTTGGTCGCCGTCATATCCAATCTGCACCCTGTCTTCTTCATCCCGGCTCACACCATCATCATCATCACCATCTTGGTACCAAGCTTCCTGTTCTTCGGATTCTGGCCATTCCGTGTATTCATCTCATCCTCATGCCCACCACTGCAACATGAGCATGACCACCATGATCTTGCATCATCAGCACTCTCGTCACCAGCCGGAGCGGTAACGGCAGCGGTAGCGAGAGCAGCAGCAGTAGCAGCTGCAGCAGTAGCAGCTGCAGCAGCAGCAGCAGCAGGAGGAGTAGGAGTAGGAGTAGTAGGAGTAGGAGTAGGAGGAGTAGTAGTAGTAGTAGTAGTAGTAGTAGCCGTAGCGGTAGCAGTAGCA